ACTGTAATCCTTTGACCTTGGCTCGTGTAACGTTTATCCTAATCTCTGTATCCCTTTTGACCTCAGCTATTCTTTCTGGCTCTTTTTTCCATTAGCCACGTCAGGACCACTACACGGAAAGTCTATTTATTGTGATTTGTGCTGTGTGTTTTGGTTCCTCCTGACCCAACACTATTCACAAAAATTAGTTCCATTAGGTTGCTTGCCTTGTACTGAGTAACAAAGATAATGTGAATGTTTAAAGGACAGAAATAATCGAAGAATATTGAAAAAAAAAGAAGCTGTTTACTCATGTACATGCTGTACATTATCATGAATTATTTCTCTTTAAGGAAGAGCCCCGTAATTAGACATGCATCCAATTCAGTGTACAAAATACCAGAATGTTGGGATATATATATATATATATATATGTATATATATATATATATTTGTGTGTGTTGAAATATTTAGACAAAGAAAATGTATTCTCTATTCAAGATTTTTATGCAATATTTAAAAAAAAAATTTTTTATTGTTAATTTTAACTGTGTAAAAAGGATGCAAACTTTTTTTTTTAACCTTTAGGTATGGCATTTACCAATGTTTACAATAAATTATCTTTGAAGAAACACTAAGGCGTTAGGAATACAATTATTTATTCCTAATGCTACAGTGCCATTCAGCCCTTGCTTAGCTGCTCTCTCTGGAAAATAAAAAAAACTGATACAATTACTCCAAGAATCTTACATGTCTCTAAACTCCCGCTTTTGTAATAATAACTTCCAGCTTTTATGGAGAAATGGAACTTAATCTTATAATCTGGCATTGCAGTTTTGATGAATATTATAGTTAAAAGCATTAAAGGACATCTACTTTATTTGGATGTATAAACAATGAAAGTTCAAGATGAACAGAAGGTCCAAACTTTGAAATTTGTCCATAAATGTGTGTAAAACATTACAAAAGATGGATAAAGATATAAAAACAATTAAAAAATAATGTTATAGAAATAATTATTCCACAAAACAAGTCTGTGCATTTAAAAAAAAAAAAAAAAAAATATCATATTTGATTTAAAATAAAGCCTATTTTCTACTATCCAGTCTGCTGGAGTCCCTGTGATCCTTGCTGTGTTCCACTGATACTCTTGGAAAGTGTAGAGCGAGTCTATAGTTGCCACCCACAATTCAGGGGACTCTAGAGGCTGCATGATATTGTCCATCTTGTGAGTTTTCAGTCTTTTAAGCACGCAATACTATTTGTAATTGTATTACACTATGTTGTGTTTCATTCTGGTATAGGTTTAGCTGGTTCCCCAAACTTTTTCTAAAATGCATGCATTGCGTTAGAAGGAGGTTTCCTGGGAAATCCTTGGAGTAGCTGTTTTCATAAATACTCACATCAGTTAAGTATTATTTCTTAGTGGGGGGTTTATTTGTATATTGAATAGAAAGCAGGTCTATTTTACCGCTATAGATTTCTGTATGTCTCAACAGTGAATAAATATATAAAATATGGTCCTGTATCTGATGGATGAGCTTTGAGCATTTCAGCTTAAACTGTACTAATTTACACCCTTCAGAAACAGACCATCACTATTGCAGAAATATCTTGAAATGTCAAGTTCTATATACAATTAATTAAACAAGATATTTCTACATTCTTATTTCCCTAAAGGCGACATCATGTGATAATGGCTCACATATTTTGACAAAACTATTTGTAAATAAATTCATAAATGAAAAGTAATTAGAAATATGAATACCATTCTTGAGCAAAATGTAAAATAAATTGATTTAGAATTTTAAAGCAACACACCACTCATCAGGCAACATTTGTAAACCAGTTGACAATTTACCTGGGGTCCACCAGGCTCCTGTCACCTCATTATATGCAACTGAAGCTCTCTGCTCTGAGCTAGCCCTGCAGCGTAAGGCTTAGCTCATTGGCTGCAAGCATTTTCATGCAATAAGCCAGGCATGCATCACAAGGTCTAGCTCAATTGATCTAATGAAGGTTCCTTGCACCCAAGGTGCAACTGGCACCCAGCGGAACATGGGTTAAGTGCTAACCATTCGCAAGAACTTTACTAATTACTTACTAATTACTCTAATAATAATAAAATAATTGCTATGTAAGCATAGTAAGTCAGATATGTACTGGATTGTAACCGACTCCTGAAGCTGAGCTGTGTGAGTTATTTAAGTCCGGGATATCAACTAGCCTGTTCTTGATGTCTCACATTGAACCACTGTATAGAGAAACACCGCGTCGTATGCAATGAACGCGTTCACAGGACCCTTATAATCCTGGAGTGGCCATGCTCAGAGATCCACTTTATCCCAACACCCACTATGTATGCACGTAGATGAAGGGAGTTTTCTGACGTCACAGTAAGCATGCAACTTAATACTTCAATGTAAGCTCAAATCATTGTCTATGTCAGTCTTTCATTGTTTTGGATGACTGTTGTGTAAGTTCCATGATATTATGATATTATTTCAAAATACTTGTGGATTTCTGACTGTGGATAGTTTTTATTGTTTTTTATTTTTTGTGTGGTTATCTCTTCGTCTTTTTTTCCAGACCTGTCTATTTTGTCATTGATGTCACATACTGGCATAGATCCATAGGCTATCTATTTGGATATCAAGTTAACTGAATGCAGATTCAGGGACAGACTGTTAGCCTGTTGGGGCCCCGGGCAAAATCATATCCTGGGCCCTTTGAAGACCAAATATTAAGTATTAAAAGGGACACTATAGTCACCAGAACAACTACAGCTTAATGTGGTTGTTCTGGTGTCCACAGCCAATCCTTGCTGTCTAATGAATGTAAACAGTGCCTTTTCAGAGAAAATATACAAAGTAATCTCTGCGCAAGTTATTTGCAACATTAAAGAAGCATTAAAGAAGCAACATATTACTCTATAAAAGTTAGAAGGCACAACATAGACACGAACAATCCTTATTTTCCTTGTATACACAACTGAAACAATTGCAAAGTGCTTGGGGTAAAAAGATATTGAAATTGTAAGTGTTTTTGATATTTTAAATATAGCAAATGAAAATGCCTATACTAAATATCATTTTCATGCTGCTTTAAATTTTCTAAGATTTCCATAATTTATTTAGCATTTTATTTCTTTCCCATTACAACTCATTTTTAAATTATATAATATATATATATATTTTTTAATTCTTCAGCATTGTACTCAAGAAATATTGAATAATATAAACATGTTGAGATGCACAAAGTATGCAACAAAAATTGGTTCTGAATTCTCTGCCCATGAGAGCTGACAATCTCCAAGATATATTCTCTTTCCCAGATGAAATACAAAGACTTGATCTCTATGATGCTCAAACTACAGCTATTTTGTTGAAATGTACGTTCCATTAGCTTGCAGGTGTAATTTGAACCTGTACCTACAGCCTGGAGACCTTTGGGTTCTTTAGAGTGTGTATTTTGATATGTTGAATTATATGGAATTAGATGTTGATGGACCTTAGCCGACTGTTTGATGTCTTCTGTCAAATTGCCTGCAGTGAGTTGAATTTCTGTTTCCTCTAGATAATTGTATTTACAAATTATGGTTGTGCATTAAGTGCCTAGCTATCAGTATCACAGTTCCTCTGATATTATATTCAGTACACTTTCACTTAGCGTATCAAAGCGAACATAAAATAAGTGCACTGTCTGATTTTAATGTATTGAGTGTATTAAGATAGTTCTAAATACAAGTGTATATGGATAATCATTATGGGTTTGTTATTTAAAAAAATAACTGTCTAACTATTGATTTTTGTTACAAAAGCATGTTTGATAATGTGAATGTTAAAAGCAAGATAAGAATGGATTTCACTTGTTTTATTACTTCCATACTGAAGACCAAGAAAGCCTGAGGAATACTGGTACACAATAATAAGTAGAAGCTTTGCTATTAACCCATTTATTACCGAGTAAGTGTAACATTTATCTTACAGTTATAGTATGCATTAGATAGACTATGAACATTGTCACTGTTTGCTATATATACACTTTATTTACTGTGTGGTGTTAGCTTGACAAAGACCTCCTGTTAGGTCGAAACATTGCTGTTCATTTTGTTGCAATAAATCTGCCTGCGGCTTTCACATTTGGAGTGCCTGTGAATCTTTCTTATTGCCTTGTCGTATTGGGATTGCTGGTCCTGTTCCGGAGCACCTGTTGCCGTTGGGAGTGAGTGCGGTTCCTGTGACCAACTTTTGCTTTATGTTCTTTCCTGTGACATTCCCAAGACCTCTTAGAGGAGACTGAGTATTTTTTTTATTACTCTCCAGCCCACCATACAGGTGGTGGAGGAAGGGGTAATTGTATCATCAAAGGGTTAAAACTTCCTTGCACAGGGGGTGGAGGAAGACATTCAACTGGGATACACAAGTTAATAGAGAGTTCTTGGAGGGGGTGATCAAAATAGACCTAATTTAACATTTTACTTTTGCATTAAAACTTGTGTAAAGAAGTAAAACTCATTGAGAGAGTATCTGTTAATTAGTACACTGACTTTTTTAAAGTATACATTTACAAGTAGTCTTTTTAAGTTAAAACTGTAGTGTCTGGTTATATTTCCATATGCAGGTGGAAAAAATATACAGTAAATGTGAAAAAAGGCACTTATAAAACAATATTTTCATGAATAGCAGCTATAAAACAAGGTGGACACTTCCAAAAATTCCACAAAGGGGAGGGGGCGTGTCCGGCAGCCGGAGAACATGGCCACATAATCATTCAGCTCCTCGTGGCACCCGCGATTAAGACGCCTAAACCGCTCACCTCATACTCCGAAAAAAACCCAGATTGGTCGCAAGAGACTGGCAGAAGCCTCCGGCACCCTGAGATCGGCGGGACCGGGTGGCGAACAATCGATCAGGTCCTTCCTGCACACCATGGCGCAAGACGGAGGCCGCTAGCCCGACCCGGGACTCCTCTCCCTCTACCCCAACGAGATTTTTGCCGTCAACTTCCCTGATGTCGGAATGCCACCGGACGGTGAGGGGAGGGCAATACTGCCTAATCTGCTAACCAAGGCAGACTTTGAAGCCCTCTCCCACCGCCTGGGCCGTGTGGTCTGGGAAGAGGTGGCCCAATTAAGAACAGACCTGTCAAACGTGGAGGCAAGGATGTCTGTGGCGGAGGCTGAAACCAGGGTGCTCAACACAGACCTCGAGCAAACCAACACCATGGTTACTAATCAAGAAGCCGACATGGCCCACCTAACCATGTGGGTAGATGATTTGGGTAACCGCGGCCGCAGGATGAACCTGCGCATCCGCGGAGTGAGAGGGAGGCCCAGCCGAAAATATCCCAGAGCTCCTGAGGCAGATCTTCAGCCAGGTACTGGGCAACCAAAATATGCCCAGACTGGTCCTAGTCAGGGCCCACCAAGCACTGAGACCACCGCCTGCACCGGAGGACCAGCCCAGAGATATAGTGTGCTGTCTGGACAATTTTCAATTAAAAGAAGAAATACTACGCACAGCAAGACGCATAGGCACCATCAGCCTGGAAGGCTAAACAATAGCTATTTACCAAGACCTCTCCCGCTACACACTGCTGGCCAGATGTGCCCTGCGCCCAATCACCACCGCCCTGCAACATGCTGGCATACAATACCGCTGGGGCTACCCCTTCTCCCTCTCAGCCCGACATGTCCCAGATTACCTGGTGGTGGGGAAACCCGATGACGTTCCTGAATTTATGCGCACCCTGGGACTCCCACCGGTTACGGTTCCCGACTGGCTGGCGAGGTCGTTCCTCCAACAACCAAATAGACCCCAGCAGCTGCAAGGAATCGACCTGGGCCAGCATAGGCCCCAACCACAACAACACCAAGATGGGTGTCCTGGCCAAGCAAGACACAAGATGTAAACCCACGATGTACTGCACTGCCTTGGTGGAAAAAAGGGGGACCCACTCAACAACAGAAGGGCACGATGGACCGTGAGTACTATACATGGGGACACATGACTGCACAATGCACCAGGCAATCAAAAGGAGATATGCAATATGGACAGCCAGCTGGCTCCACATACTGCATGGGGGGAATCCAACCGCTTTTGGGTGGGGAATGGGATGCATAGCCCACCTCTACAGCAATGACTAACTTGGGGACTGTACAGGGATCTACATGTACCTTCACCTCCACCCACACCCCAGATGACGAGACCACTAAACCTAACCACAACGCAACCCTGAAGCCCAGTCAACAAGAACACCCAGGGAGCAATGACAAGGAAAGGCAGGACGGGGAGGAGCTATAAGGGGAGCAGAGGGAAACATGAGAGTGGGGGAGACTAAGAAGCAAGGAGGGAGAGTCAGATGAAGGGAGGGAAAGAAAGAGGTCAGGTGCGGAAGCGATAAAACAAAGATTGATAATAAAGGGGGGGAAGGGGAGGAAGGAAAGAAATGGGGGGGGAAGGAAAAACAAAAACCCATAAACGCATACCCATCAGCTGAACAACGGGTGGAGAGATTGAGCCTAGCGTAGAGAGAATAGATGCCACATATAAGTAATAACCCCCCCAAGGGCAAGCAGAGAGGGGGAAGGGGCACAGAGAGCCCAAGTCGAAAGACTGTTTCCAGCAAGCCAGCTACACAGCTGCAAAGGTCGATGTTGAAGACATTGACCCGAGATTGTATACTTGCACGACACACCATTTCCGTACCATGCATCCATACGATAATGCAAATCCCCATAATGCACAGCAACCATGACTAGGGAGACAGAGGCAAATCCCAAAGGTACAGAGAGGCAAATCAAGAGGAACAAATGCATAGTCGGAGATGGACAAAAAACGATGAAAACCGGCAATCGAAGCAAGACAAACAACGCGTGTACCACTCGGGAATCGTAAAGGACTCGCACCCCTATGAACCTGCACGTCTAACCCGAAGGGAGATACTAAGCAGAGCGAGACCCACCAAAATCAGTCGTACGCGTCACCTAATCTAAATGATACGACAGTCCCCGGTCAAGAAAGTGACCAAACAATTCTCGAACTCTGTAATAGTGTATGCAAAATTTCTGGTAATCTGTACCAGACCCAACTACGTCAGGGTCGCCATGCAGACAAACGTCTTACAGTCCCCAAGATCAAATGGGACAAGTCCAGAGAATCCAGGGCACTAGTTTCGACTCGGCCGAAGCAGAGGCCATAAAACCAAAGCACCAGCAGACCGAGACACCTGTAGTAAGGTCCTGGAACCAAACAAACGGAGGAGACTAGTCAGTGTCTCCGTGTCGAACACCCCTGGAGGTGGTCCCGCGTCCATCACTGAGGAAACGGGTCTGTAAGCCAGCTGAAACTGGTTGGAGCATGATGGGTCCTCCTCTGTGGATTAAAGTCTTGACGCCGGGACCTCCCGGAAAAACTATTCCAAACTTACAAGAACTCGGGTATGGGAAAAAGTAGGAGGCACCCCCTTGCATCCAATCCACCCTCCAGGACTCTACTCTTCGAGAGGTAGAGGGGGTCTATATTTCCTTGGCTGAACATGAAATCCAGGGACCCGAACAAGGGAAAACGCAGAGAGCAGGAGGAAACTCGCAGAGGATCCCGCAAGCCCGTCCGGGAAGACCGTACAGCTAAATGTCCTCGTGGAACAAATGAGAAGGGTCCCTTCAGATAGTTCTGGTATTCCCGAATGTCCTAAATTCATCCAAACCTGCCAGCCAGGCTGTAGTATCGTCCCAATGAATGATGCCCCAGATACTTATCTCGCCAGGGAGAAAATTGAGCGTACCTTACCAGGAATGGACCCCGCGGTCCTTTGAAATAGACGCGGCCCTCAGGGAACTTCTAAGTAACTAATGGATATGCGTTCAAGCGTAGTCCTGTGCGGGGGCATCAAAGGGCTCAGTTCCCTTAAACCCGTCTGGTATGTCATCCGAAGGTGAAGGTAAATGTGAAACTCCGGGGCCAAGGGTCTAATCCTCTATAACAGGTACGGGTTGGAGCATTAGATATGCCTCCATAAAGTTTTATCATATAAAAACTGGGCACCTAATATACTTCATCGTATGTCCCACTAGCCCAACTCACTTGAGTAGAGGAGAACAATCGGCTTGCCAGTGCGGACTTAAAATAAAGTATAGGCACTGCAGCGGGCCACACTCAGGATCTCCTGTATACTAGACAGGCGCTTTCACCAGGAAAATCGCAGTGCCCCATCGGGGTCTAAGTCTGGGTATGAGGCTACCTTGTTTGGGAGCCCTGCTGGGTATACCGCTCCAAGTATCCTGTGGGCTTCTCAAGCCAGTGGTCTATGAACCCAGAAACGCACCTATGGTGCTAGATGCTCGGGCAGAGACCGTTCCAAAGAAACCAGGTCAGCAATGGGTCAAGGGTCGAACAGGGGTTCGTTTAAGGTGACCCACGAGATGACCTCTTCTTCCAAGGTTGTCGAAGCCCCTGTAGTGGGCTTTGTTCTCCGTCTCACGGTGCCACTTGGGGACATCATCATAGTCCACACCCCCATCGTCCTCTCTCTCCGAGGGGGACCGGTCCGCCCGCCATTCAGCTAGTGCGGCCATGGTAGGGGGGGTGGGTTACAGGGACTTTCACCCCAGCGCTACCTAGGCAGTGTAGTCTGGCCGTCGAGGCCGATTGTAACGGGTCTAGATGCTTCTCCGGAATCTAGTCTTTCCGGGCGCCTGGTTCAGGGCCTTCTCCCTTCCAGTAGCGTTTATGCGCACTTGCTTGCTCTCCTTTAGGAGAGTCTGACCCCAACGACCACCTTCGTGGTTACTAGAACTCCACAGCAGCACATTAACACAGAGAGAAAAACACCAGAGACAAAAAGTAAGGAATCCATTAAAGGCTCTTCCCAACCAAACTATTTCCTCTTTCTTTGCTGCTCTGCAGTCAGTACAGATCAGAGTACCACTGCCTCCTGTTTTATATGGGTGGTTGAGATATATACTTTTTACTTGTATTTGATTTTATGAGTGGATCTTATGATTAGATTATATGATTTGTTTTAGGATTAGATTTTATGATTTGATCTTATGATTACATTTAAGATTTGATCTTATGGTTGCATTTATGATTTGATTTTATGATTACATTTATGATTTGATTTTATGATTACATTTTATGATTTGTTTTTTTGATGTGAGGTCAGGTATTTTTTGTTATTGCCTGCTCTGTCTACCTCCCTCCCTTTTCTGTGGGGTCCGTAGGATGCCTTCCTCCACCTTTCTCCCTGTTTTTTCCCTACCTCTCCGTTGCTGTCCTTTTTTCCCCTTTTCCTTCTGTTCCGACAGCAGGGGCCGCGGAGAATGACTCCAGCGGTCCCACGTGGGTACCGTGAGAGTGGTGCGCGGGAACTACCCATCTGCCTGTCTCCCTCCCACGTTCCCCGTTCCGCGGGGAAGCCGTTTAGCTCTCGCGCCCGCGAGTGGCGCGGGGGGTGATGACCAGCCATGTGGGAGCGGTGGCTCCCGACCACGTGTTAGCGACGGCTACCGACCTCGTTTTGGCCTCCCCACACCGCAGGGCCCCTCCGTCCAGAGGCAGGTTACACTTCACACTGTGAGCCTTCAGAGGTATTAGAATGGCTCTTTGTCACTGCAATACCTCAGTGCTGCAGGTCCAATTCCTAGCAGGGTCAAGTCAGACTTTCATATATCTGAGGTCAATAAACTCAATACTGTCAAAGTTTAGCAGTGATAACTTTGCAATCCTGGGACATACCTGAAAAGCTAGACATATCTTCTGGCATTATCTGATACTTTGAGGAAGGTGAAGGATCACTGGTGATCATCTATTAAGTTACACTAGAACTACTGTTTTGCTACGTTTTGATTTTCCTTGTACACCCCCTGTTCCCTGGTGACTTTCCGTAGCTGGTTGCTATGGGCTGCCTGTTTCTTATACACAGATGCTGCAAAGGGTTGCTTACTAGTTATCTGAGGAACGTTATCTTCAATTACACAGTAGAATGCTATGTACAGTTACACAGGAAAATGCTATGTACAGTTACACAGAAGAAGGCTACGTACAGTTGCACAGTAGAATGCTATGTACAGTTGCACGGTAGAATGCTATGTACAGTTTCACAGAAGAATGCTAGGTACAGTTTCACAAAAGAATGCTAGGTACAGTTACACAGAAGAACGCTATGTACACTTACACCATATAGTGACAGAGGCAAGTTTGGCAGCGCATGCAATGCCCAAGCGTGAGTATGTAGCAGCAAAGCTTGGTATGCAGACATTCTGGCACAGACAAAGCAGGCCAGATCAATGGGGCACATACAAAGCAGGCCAATCAATGGGCACAGACAAAGCAGGCCAATCAATGGGGCACAGGCAAAGCAGGCCAATCAATACGGCTCGGATCAAGCCGGCCAAATCCTGGGGCACAGACAAGTCAGGCCCAACAGGGGTGTACAGGCGATAAACTGCACCTTCCATTCTTCTAAATAATTGTATATTTCACTCTTCGGAGAAGATGCATTCTTCTGTGTAACCGTACATACACTCATCTGAGTAACTGTACATAACGCTCTACTGTGTGACTGTACATAGCATTCTTCTGTGCGACTGTACATAGCATTCCTCTATGTAACTGTACGTAGCCTTCTGCGTAACTGTACATAACCTTCTTCCGTGTACCCGTACATGGCATTCTTCTGTGTAACTGTGTATAACATTTATTTGTTTAATTGTACATAGCACACA